TTTAAATCTTGCCTTTCACACAATAAATGCTGTTTCACACAACTTCATTGATTAGACATCACTGTATTACGACATCTAGTGGAGATGATGAGAAATAACAATTATTTTTAGCTGTAATTATTTGATTCAAGAGTCCCATTTAACTAAAATTGAGCTGACACTTTAGACAAGCAGCACACTTTTGCATGACATGTATCCGGTTTCCTTTTCTCATCACAAGTTGCACAAGAGCTTGCGCATTTCCCAAAGCAGCTTAACATTAAAATGTAACAATGGTTAACCAGTGCTTTTTGCATTTTCAAAACATGTTCGGCTCTAAATAGTAATGGCCATATGTGCCTGATCAATAATTAACCAGAATGTTGCAAATGCTAACTCGGCTATGTCATTTGGACAGTCACGCATTGACGAAATGAGAGAAACAGAGATATCTGTTCTATCTACTTCTGCTCAGGGGATATTGGAACATTACTTACTTAATCTGTTCCTAAACTGCTGGTGAATACAAATTAAATGCATCTTTAGGAAATGTTTTAAAGTATTTCCCACCACTAAATGTGGATTAATTACCATTAATGTGTTTTAATGCAGCTAGTGCCAAAACTGCAAGGCAAATGCATTATGTGGTATCTGATTACAACGGGGCGATGCATTAATAATAATTATGGATTTGACAAATTGCAGCCTCTGTTAGGCAATCATTTTGCAATCAATTTTATTTGGTCTCTAATGCTTCAGACGGCTTCAGATCAGTATTATCATGCTGATTAGAAAAATGAGGCCTCGTATCTCCAACGGAGGCGGAATCGTGAGAGAAATAACTATCGTCAAAATCGCAAAGTACATCCTGCAATTCACAGAATGATAACTGTGTTGAAAATTAACATGTGCGTGTTCAGGATGTCAGACGGATCTAGTCTACAATTCCCTCCCAATAAGTCACTTTAAGTTAGGTTTACCTGAAAAGGAAATGTTTAAATGTGTTAATCAATGTCCATATTGAACAACGCACAGCTGCCATTTCACACTCTTAACAAATAAGAAACTTCTCTCTGTGGTTGCATGGCATGTCTGGCTATTTTTATTTAATCAGACACAGTAACAAAGTCAGCCTGTATGTATGCATGCATGAAGCCTGATTGATTACTTAAATGCCTAAATATAGCTGCCCCAGTGGATCATGATTCGGCTGTTGACAGCCACTTGCCAGGAGAAATATGCATGACTTTTCCTGCATAAGGAGATCTTGAAAGGCAACCATGATATGTAGATTTGAGAGCACTTTGTATAGTTCTGTTGCTTGATTTGGTGGACCATTTTGAAGTAGTTCGAGAACCTCAAGCCTAGATTTTGCTACAGTTTTTATAGCATGCATACTTTTATGGTTTAAAGAATGCTCATATGAGACTAAAAGGGTTCAAAGTGAGCCAACAAAATCCCTACACCATTACACCAACATCACTATCTCAATGTTGCAGAAAAAATTAAGACTCATCAGGCCAGGCAAGCTTTTTGCAAATCTTCTGTTGTCCAGGTTTGGTGAGAGCATGCAAACTAGTCTAAAGTGTGCTGTTCTTATTTATCAGCAGTCAGTGTCACCGGTGTATCTTTCTTCTGCTGCTGTTGCTCATCTGTTTCAATGTTATATGCTCAGAGATTATCATCTGCTGATTTAGGGTGTACTACTCACACTAGGCACGGTTTCACTTGAATCATGCCCAAGTTTAATAGTCCTCATCTCCTCTCCCCCTCGACCTGCACTCACATTGCAAATTTACCTTCCAAGCCCGAGCATTGTTATGTCATCAATGATGCGACTGTTCAGTTTTGAAGAGAAGCGCTCTTTCTTAATAGAATGGAGATTGCTGTAGTTGGTTTTGTATTATTTTAAGTTGTATGGCATTCAGTGTGTCACTGTACTTTGAAAAGACGGATACAAAAAGGTAGGATCCAAGTGCATTTAATAAAGAAATAATCGTGCAGATAACAGAAAAAGAACGGGACATCCAAAAATCAAAGTAGCAAAAGAACAATAATAAACTAAACAAGAAACTAAGGCAAGGTATGGGAAAACAGCACATGAACAACATGCCATACAAAAACAAATGACTCAGTGACAACAAACGGGTGCAGGGTATATAAATAGTCTAAACAATCAATAGTGCCAGGATTTAGCTGCGTGTGTAATCAGTGGAAGTGAAACATGCATGTGTAAAGAATGAAGGGATTTGTAGTTCATGACTGAATTGTAGTTCACCAGAAATCTCTGCAGTACTTGATCACTGGTGAACACTGCACACTGACACGTAGTCAAATCCAATCCAGGCACATTCTGAAAACCTACCTCTATAAACATTTGTTTTTTTGTTTTTTTTACCATTCTTGTTTTTGCGAATCCACCAGAGTCAGCTGTATATGCTTTCTGAGAGCTCAAATTTATTTTCCGTGTGCCCTTCGCACCTGCTGTTCTCGCATAAACCCACCAGAGGTTGCTGTTGACTGACTGTTTGAATGACTGACTGACTGACAGAATGAATGACCCACCCTCCGCCTTCTCTAAACCCAACCAATTGAATTGATTGACCCGCCCACCCACTTCCCTAAACTCAAAAGCAATTCAGAAAAAAAAGTCCTCACATGATTTTTACTACATTTTCAGATTTTACTACATTCTCACCCTGTTATTTACTTTATTTTATTTTTTGGCTTGTTGTTTTTGTCTTACTTGCTTTCTGGAACCGTTCTTCACCCGACTTGTATCCCTTCGTTGTGGTAAACTCCCCTCTGTGTCTCAGCTCATTAGATAATTTGTTTTTTTTTAGACCATTCTGTGAAACCTAGACTTGTTTCTGCATGAAATCAGTATATCAGCAGGTACTGAAGCACTCAACCTAGCAACTCAGCCTAGCAACCATTCAGTTCTGTTTAAACATAAGCCAATCATCTTTGTGTGCATGCCTAAATGCACTGAGTTTCTGCCATGTTGCCTGATTAGTAATTTGCATGATCAATGATCAGTGAATAGACGTACCTAAAGTAGTTGCTCAGTGTAGACTTGCGCTTAGTTCTATGATATGTAAATGTAACAGATCTCAGTGAGGCTCAACAGTGTACTCAAAATAAGTTGCAGTAAAAGATCTGTAGTGAACACTATTTTTTATTTATCTGTGCGTGTCTGTATCTGTATGACATTTCATTTTGTGGAAATCAATGATCAAAACCAAAGAACAGCAATGACTGGAACATGAATAAAGAAGTCAGCTTAAATATCTGACTTACAGCGATCAAAAAATTAGAAAGGCTCTTGCTTTGACTGAGTTCAACATATCTGTGACAAGGACATCACTACCCAGCATTATTAAACGTTCGTTTTTGATGTTATAAAAATAAACAAATAATTGTTTCTTTAATTTTTGGATTGTCTTTAGGATGTTGATAGAATAACATTCTTAGAACAATCTGAAAGTTTTAAAAAGATTTGAAAAAATGTTTTTTTTATAACTTAATGGGACAATAAAGGGAAACATTCTTAGAACAATAATGTAATGTGAATTAAAAATTTTAATATTGTTTTACTGTAGATAACATTCTGAGAGCTTAAATACAACTTGAGACAAGAATAACATTTTATAACCAAATATGAATGTCAAAACGATGTTTAATAAACTAGATAATTCAAATGTTCTAGAAACCTCAAAAATGTTTGTCTTTATAACTTAATGTGAGTGTTTTTATACCCTAAAACTGTAGGGTGTTTATTCTCACAGGAAATCATTAAACCAACTGTCTATTACGATTCACTAAAGTATTTTGCATCTTGTGCATTTTTTTTTTTTTTTTTTTTTGTGAGCAACCAGCCTTTTTGATTAACTAAAATGAGTTCATCATGAGTCTAAAGATGCAATATTCATGAAATTGCACATGTGGAAGGACCAGTATGTCTCGCTGTGGCTGAATGGGCTTCCCTTTGGTCCTCATCTGATCATTTCAGTCACCTGAAATGCTTTCTATGCAAATAGTGAAAAGCTAAGCTGCCAGTGAAATGATCATTGTCAGATAACAAAGGAAATTACCATCCGGTACATGATTAACACCAAAACACAAGAGCCATCTAAAAGTTAGCTTTGTAATGGCTCAATAATAATTGGTCACACTTTATTTTGATGGTCCGTTTGTTGAATTTAAGTTACATTGCATCTACCTGCCAACTAATACTCATTAAATTATAAGTAGACTGTTAGGTAAGGCTTAGAGTTAGTATAAGTTGACATGTACTTGCAAAGCAACGTATAGTTAGTTAAATGTCTGTTGAAGGAGCAGTATCAACAGATATTAAGCAGACAGTTTACTAATACTCAAGTAGACCATCAAAATAAAGTGTTACCTTATAGTTAAATATGACAGAATTCCTTTATTAATTCCTAAAACTATATTGCTTTGAAGAGACATATGTAACGATGCAGACTTTCACCAGAACTTTAAAAATCAGAGCTTCTGACTTTGATACAAAACCTCATGCAATCCTTTAACAAGGACTATATAAGTAACACTGTGAATGTACAAAAGCTAATGATTGTCCTGCTGGCTTTCTGCAATATTCTGCAGAATAAAAGTGAATCAATGATGCAGCCTCTTGGCATTGCATTGATTCAGAGTTGAAAGCCAGCAAAAATAACACACCAATATAGAAACAACCAACCTTTAGAAATGAGCCACTTTGTTTTCTTAAGAATTAATTAGACTAAACATCCCCATAACACAAGAAACACACAAGATCACATTCCGATCCACGTCTCTCATTAACAATCAAAATCATTGACAGTCCAACTGAAAATCATTGACCGTTTCGAGGAGTTCTCTTGAGAGGTGATTTTTAGACATTAACTCCAGAATCATCGCTCAAAGGTTTACGAAATGGGAGGAGTGAAGCAATATAAATGGGAGAAATGGTCATCTATTCTGTGGCCTGTCACTAAAGCAAATGCTCTGAAAGGATCATCCAAACGTCAACAATTACAGCAGTGAGTGGAAGAGATCGGAGATTTTCACGCTATGTTAATAGAGGAGCGCTTACTAACACTTTTCAAAAGGAACTGTCAACATACGCTGACATACTGGAGCGTGTTCTTCAGCTTTGGACTGAGCATTGCTTTTCTGGGGCCTACCATCCTGGATCTGAAATGCCGGACCGGCTCCACGCTGCAAGAGATCACCTGGGTTTTCTTTGCCCAACAGCTCTGTCTACTTATCGGCAGCTCCAGTGGAGGAGCTTTCACCAAAACGTGAGTCTCGACAGATAAACATGGACTCCTTGTGAAATGTCAGCTCTCTATTGTTGGCCAAACATGCTGTGGTGTTTAGTTTCAGTTTAGATATGCACTGCGTATCAGATATATTCTGTCAGTCAGTCTTCAAGTGTTTTTGGTGAATTTCTTCATTTTTTTTGCAAGATTGCAAGACGTAAATTTTTGTTAACCTTTTTTTTTTCTATAGATTTATTGCCACATTTCATCACATTTCATCAATCCTCAAGCATAATAAAATATGCTTTTATTGTAAACACAAACAGCAATTTGTCACCCAGAGCTGTCATTTCTCATAAGATAAGGTCTATAACAATATTTCTTAGCAATTAATTTATTAAAATACAACAGCAAAAACAAATCTGATGAATTTCTAATAAAATTGTGACAAACATCACGTATATAAGGTGTAAAACTCTTTATTTCTCTCTTTTTACAATTAAATAAATAAATATATTACATTTAAGTAAAAATGTTAAAGATTTTATTTTCAATACAAATGTATGAGTTTTATAGACACCTTGCATGTAATACCGTAAAAAAAAAAAGTTGACTCAATTTAAAATTTTAAGGCAACAAACTTCAGGACATTTTTTGAGTTTATTCAACTTAAATTGAGTCAAGTGCAGAAATTGGGTTGAAAGTTGAGTCAACTCAAAAATGTCATGAAATTGAGTTAACTTTTTTTTAAAAGTGAATTAAGAACACAAAAAAAACTGCTAAATTGAATAATAATTAAATGTTAATGTGCCGATAAAATGACAACAACAATAATAAATAATAGTTATTATTATTAATGCTTCTATATCTCAGACTGACTAGATAAAAACACTTTTGTGATTTTTCAGTGTGACATTGAGAAACCTTTAATATTTGAAAATTAGAATTTTATTTTTCATCACCACAATAAAATTAGAACTCTAATATTCATAAATTTATCAATACCTACATTTTAAAACGTTAAACCACCAGACTTTTTGATGGAAAAAGCAGGAAAAGGTTGATAAATAATCTCAGTTAAAAGTATGTGTATATTTCAGTCTGAAAAACATTTTAAAACAATTTAAACAGAACAGAAAAAGGTATGGTGTTTGTGTGGGTCAGTATTTACTGTCAATGCAGAAACACTGAAAAAACTCTTGCAGGAAAAAAATACTAATAAAATAAATGTAAAAATAAATAAAAAACAATAAGTTTTTTGGCTTCATAATTTTTTATTACATACCAGTACGCCTATAGTAATAATAATTATGAGTATTATTATTGATGTTGCTGTTGTTGTTTTAGTTATTATTATTATTATTATTATTACTTACTAAATCTACTAAATACTACAAATTATCACTACTACAATTGTATTGTAAATTTACAGATATTCAGATATTACATCAGACTTTTATTTGAGTAAAAAGAAAATGAATAAAAGCAGTCAAAAAAAAAAAAAAACATTGTTCAAGACTATCTGTGAAATGCAGAAAACTAGTGTAAAAATGTGATAAACAGATGGGAAATGAGCAAATAGCAAGTGATTGTTCTGTTTTGTTCCTCAGGTTGTTCAGCGCTCTGCTCGCTCTCTTCCTCTCGTCCCTCATCATCTCTGTGGTTTTTTCCATCATCCCACTTTGCTATAATGTGCTGCTGCTGGCGATAGCGATGGCAGTGTCAGGTCTGGCCATGGGCATCATCGACACCATCGCAAACATCCAACTGGTGTCCATTTATAAAAAGGACTCTCCTATCTTTCTGCAGGTGAGCGAACACATATATCATCATACATCTCACACATTATGTTCTTCTGAAAAAATGTAACCTCTGTAATCATATATTCAAACTTAAGTGCGACTAAACTGTTATGAATGTCTTCTGCTAAAAAAAAAATTTTTAAAGGATATTGGAAAGAAGCAGACATTGACTTCCATACTTACTTACTCCCAGGGCCGTTTATATTGAAGCTGACAGTTAGGTGCACCAATTTGGTGTTTCCTAAACTGACTTCCATGGGAATTTTTTGGTTGCTACATTGTATGTCCATGGCTGCTAGTGGAAATTTTCATTTTTGGGTGAACTATCCCTTTCTTAGTTTCTTATACAGAGCTGTTATGGGGATTCAAGATGGAACGATATGTAGACTAATTTAGTGGTATTAATAAAGCAGTCAACACTTGATCTCGCCCATTTATGAACACATATGACATAGTAGCACGTATTGTTATTATAAATAAGGTAATGCTCCATTCTTGCTAATCATGTGTTGTGTCAAAAAAAAAAAAGGTTTCCTAAAATTCACAAAGAGGTGCCACTGGCTACACACTAGCCTAAAATTGAAATAAATGAATGAATGAATGAATGAATTAACAAATAAATAAAGAAATGAATAAATAAATAAATAAATAACTAAATAAATAAATAAATGAATGAATGAATGACTGAATGGGCATCATAGTGGTGCAGTGGGTAGCACAATCGCCTCACAGTAAGAATGTTGCTGGTTCGAGCCTTAGCTTGAGTTTGCATGCTCTCCCCATGTTTGCACGGGTTTCTTCCAGGTGCTTCGGTTTCCCCCACAAGCCCAAAAACATGCGTCACAGGTGAATTGGGTAGGCTAAATTGTCTGTAGTGTAAGTGTGTGAATGAGTGTGTATGGATGTTTCCCAGTGATGGGTTGCAGCTGGAAGGGCATCCACTGTGCAAAACGTTTGCTGGATAAGTTAGCGGTTCATTCCATCGTGGTGACCCCTGATTAAAAAAGGGACTAAGCCGAAAAAAAATAATAATAATAAACAAATAAGTAAATGAATAAATAAATAAATTAATAAACAAATAAATAAACAAACAAACAAACAAACAAACAAATAAATAAATAAATAAATGAATTATTAATAAAATAAATGAATTACTAAATAAATAAATGAATAACTAAATGAATGAATAAACAAACAAACAAACAAACAAACAAACAAATAAATAAATAAATAAATAAATAAATAAATAAATAAATAAATAAATAAATAAATAAATAAATAAATAATTAATAAAATAAATGAATAACTAAATAAATAAATGGATGAATGAATAAACAAACAAATAAATAAATAAATAAATAAATAAATAAATAAATAAATAAATAAATAAATAAATAAATAAAATATTTTGATAAATAGAATTGTTTGTCATTACCAAAGGTCTCTCCTGCTAATATGTTAATTACTGATTTAGCAATGAATAAAATAATTAAATTGTCATTTTTTCTTTGGCACTATTGTTTTTTCACAATTGTTCACTTTTGAATGCATTGATTTTGTTGATAATATGTTAGATTGTAACCATACATTTACACAAAATATGAATTAATAACCAATTTAAAAAGCATAAATAGCACATTTTATACATTTTTTTCAGTGCTAAAATTCTTTAAAGATTATGTGACGATCTTAAAGTGCTAAAACGTCCTCTTATTGTCACATTTGTTCCAGTAACAGTTTTCATCCTGTGTGCTGGCTGCTAAGTGTGCTTTAGATGGAAGCTTAATAAATGCCTTTATTTATTTATTTCCCAATTCATTGCACTCACCACACTATATCAACAGCTCCAAATGGTGTTTCTCGTCTTAATTGTGTCCTTTCTGTTGGTCCAGGCTCTGCACTTCTTCATTGGTCTCGGTGCTCTATTGAGTCCTCTGATTGCAGAGCCTTTCATATCCGGCCACTGCCTGCGCAGTAATAGCACAGAAAACGCCACCGAGATAATTCACCACTTCAGATCCAGCTTCAGGTCACCTGTAAATCTGCCCGAGAGTTCGCCGCTCTCAGGCCCGGTGGAGGAGAGGAACGTGTCCTACGCCTTCTGGATCATGGCTCTCATTAATGTAAGCTGAAGTACAGTAGCTCTGTGTGCATTAGCTGTTGTGTTGCTGTCAGATCTCTCTGAGTCTATTTCTCTGTTAGCTGCCGGTGCCGATTGCAGTTTTTGTGTTGATGTATCAAGAGAAGCTGCTGCCCTTTTGCCCAAACAGCAGCCCACGACTGCTAGACAAAGATGAGCTGGCCATGGAGACCAAAGCACCAGACAACACAGAAATGGCTGAATTAGATGACGAAGGTATTATAGAGCTGTAGTTTTTATATGTAGATCATTCATTCATTCATTTTCTTTTCGGCTTAGTCTGAGGTCACCACAGCAGAATGAACCACCAACTTATCAGGCACATGTTTTATGCAGTGGATGCCCTCCCACCTGCAACCCAACACTAGGAAACATCCACACACTGCCATTCACACCCATACAGGTCCTTTTTGAAATTACAAGTAAATTTGTTCTGGCTGTTTTTCGGAAAGAGTTGTAACATTACCGGTAATTTGCCGAAATGCTGTGCTGTGTGAACACAGAAGGAAGATTGCCAGAAAGAGCGCGTGCACGTCTAGATGTGAGACATCTACTGTGACGTGAGACGTCTACTTTAGCCAATCAGAACAGTCAGGTGCATTCACGTCCGCGCGGTTCATGAAAATAAAAGCCTTTAAATATTTTTTCAGACACATTTAGCTGCTGGATGTTAGTCAGATAACGTTTATATGTTCTTCTTAATGCCAAATGTGTAAATAATTAACGATAAGATGCTTGTGATAAGCCGTTGTTTGTTTACCTTCAAGCTCTGCTTCCTTCAGTTGCTTGACTCGTCGCGTCTGCACATGAAACAGCCGTGAGCGCCAGCACACACACATATCATGAACATCTCGACATGCAAAAGTATTCTTACATATGTTTTCATCAAGGTTGTTCACAATTCTTATCCATCCATAGAATTTGTATTGTAGTCAAATGTTTACAAATACAAGTGCAGCCGTTTAAAGCTCATTTCTGGTTAATGATGTCAGAATTTACCAGTATTTTGGAATGGATGTGTGACTGGTCTTTTCCAGGAAAATTCAGTAACATCCTCGCCTGTGCACAGCGCTTTTTGAATTTACCGGTAAAGTCGTTCCGGAAATTTTCCGGATTTTTTACCGTATCACTGTGTGAAAGGGGCTATAGTCAAAACATTTCATGTGGTTCAACTGTAATCAAGTCAAGTTGAGCTTTATTGTCAAGCTTTATTGTCATTTCGCTACATGTGTAGCCATACAGAGGAACGAAATGTCATGTTTCGCTGGACAACGGTGCTACATAAATTAATCATGAATACAAACACAACACTGCTCATAAGACCTATTTAAAAAAATTCCAAGAACTATAAATACTATACTATATGAGTAAATACAATATGTCTTCCAAATCAGCTCAGTGTCACATATTTATTTAGGGCAGTACAACACTTATGTGTCACTCTACTGACTCTAATGGCAATATATCGTACTGCTCACAGCAGGGTTTAAGCCAGAAATTTTGAAATGTGGATCTCAGTGCCTACTCATAACAAAAGTGTATAATAACTAGTGTCTGGAAATACAGTAATTAATTTAATGTAGTGAGAGCTGACATTTATGTGTCCAACACTCATTTGCCACGGTGGTGCAGTAAATAGCCTAATTGTCTCACAGCAACAAGGTCACTAGTTCGAGCCCTGGCTGGGTGAGTTGGCGTTTCTGTGTAGAGTTTGCATGTTCTCCCTGTTTGGGTTTCCTCCAGGTACTCCAGTTTCCCCTCAGTCCAAAGACATGCGCTGTAGGTGAATTGAAAAAGCTAAATTAGCAGTTGTGTATGTGTGTGAATGCAGAAGTGTATAGGTGTTTCACAGTGTTGTGTTGCGGCTGGAAGGGCATTTGCTGCGTAAAACATGCTGGATAAGTTGTCGGTTTATTACGCTGTGGCGACCCTTGATAAATAAAGGGAGTGAGCTGAAAAGAAAATGAATGAATGAATAATAATCTTCATCTAGTTCTGATACTACATTAGTTTCTTTATTAAGAAAGAAAAAGAAAATATAACAAGATGAACTGTAAGTTTTTATTTGCTAAGGCTAAAAATGTATTCCCAATAAAATGTAAGGTAAGCACTGGACAATAATTACGATCCACACAAAAAGCTATCTATATTAGCTAAATTAAGCAATAATTGATTTAAATTAGATTGTATGATTTCAAAATATGAATTGAAAACATTCATTTTTCACTTTGTGAAAATATGCTATAAAACATATTCGCAAAAAAACATTTGATTACCTGAATAAAAATGCAAATTCACTCTCATCCAGTAGAAGGCGCATGTAGACCAGCACTAACCTCATAATTAAACACTCTGCAGCCTGGCTCTTCTAGAAATCAGAATAATGGTGGTTAAAAGGTGTTTACTATTTGGGGAAAGGTATTTTTCCAGAAGGTTCTCTTTGGCAAGCTTTTTCAAACTCATTAAAGCAAACTCTAAATTAATTTCTTTGGACTATTCAATTTATGTCAAGTCATTACATTTCTTTGTTTCTTGGGGCATTTATAAACAATAAAAATTGCAATAGAAGTATTAATATTGTGAATATTATTACCATTTAAAATGGCATTTAAACAAATTTGATGTTTAAAATTCCTTTATAAGCTTGCAGCTAACATATACAATTCAAGTGGCTCCTAACATGATGTCTCTCTCTATCATTTGGTCCCCAAAGTTTTTCTTCACTCTGGACATGGAAACATCTTCAGCTGCTGTACGGATGGTGCTCTGCGTGGGTTACCCGTCACCTTCTTTCTCATCCACATTTTTGGTGGTATGGTGCTGTTTATGACAGAGGGCATTATGGTGAGTGATCTGAATATGGCTACTATGAATTTGTATGAATTTGAGAGATTCTAGCAAATGTTTACTCCTAACTCTTGAACCTTGACTTTTAGGGGGTCTATGCAGGCTTTGTTTACACGTACGCTGTTTCACCTCCCATGTCTCTGCAATCTAAAATGGCAGGAAACCTGAACTGTATCTTCTGGGCAGCCATCACTGCCGGACGACTGGTGTCAATCCCGCTATCATACCGCTTTAAAACAGTACATCTGCTCCTCACTAACCTGGTAATCCATTACAAAACACTGTTATTGCCATACACTAAAATCTCTCAAAATATCTCTGAAAACATATTGCCTCAGTCATTTGAGTAGGCTCATTTTTAAGTTGCTAAAGCTTATTATTATTTTGTACCTCAGTTTGTTTGTAATGACACACAGGTGTCTCTTATTTACACTCATATACAGTGCTCAGCATAATTGAGTACAGCCCATTTTTGTGATTGAAAAATAATTCTTTTATCTATTTCTCAAAGAATATAGTATATATTTTGGTGCATTTAAACAAAACAGATTTATTAAACAGATATATTTATTAAAATAATATTTTAGTCACCAAACATATTCAGAGATAGTAATATAATACAAATAAATGTAAGCAAATATTGCAAAAAATAATAATAATAATAAATAAATTACAACCTGGAAAATTTCAACTAAATTTTTCCTTTTTTTTTTTGCTTCTTTTTGTTTTTCCTCTTTTTTTTTAATTTGTATTTGTTATTTTCTTTAACGTATAAATTTGGATGTACTAGTTTTTGGACCGTTGTCATAAGTGATTTTGTTAGATAAGCTCCAGATTTGGCTTCAGTACTGACTAATCTAATGTTTATGCACAAATATAATATAGCTTCCTATTAAAAATATGAATTTAAAAGATACATTTGTGAGGGGTATACTTATATTTGCTGAGCACTGTATATAGAATTACATAGTTTGTACAATTTGTTTGCATAAACATCTCAGAAATTTTTCGATTAAGTGTTAGTTAACAATAGCATGTGTTAATGTATTTTTGTTCACTTGTATGATATATATATATATATATATATATATATATATATATATATATATATATATATATATATAAAAACAACATTCAACTGACATAAAAAAAAAATTGACAATCAAAAAACATGTCAAAAATGTGAATCAATTTGATGTTAAAACCTTGACGTTCACTTAACATTCACCCATTAATGCTTATTTGACCAGCAAAATAACAATACAAAGTATTATAATATAAGAAATGTTTTATTATTTTAAAATCTTCAATTCCAGATTCCAATTTGACACATTTGTATCTCAACAATGCATGTAAACTAGCTTGATGTCAAAATGCCATCTAAATAGACATCTAACATTGGCGTCATGTCAAAAATCTATTGCAGCACTATACTGTAATCTACTTTTGATGCCAATGTAAGATGTTAATGTAATGTTGTTTTGACAGTAACATTTGACATATTGATATGTTTTTATGTGTTTTTTTTATATTTTGACATCAAGATGTCTGCTAAAGGGATTTAAAGGGGGTCGCACACCAGATGTGCCGCACCACACCACAATGCACCATGAAGTGTCATGCATTTTAGAATTGTAAACATAGATTTGTATCAGGGTAGGCACACGGATGACACAAGTCCCCTGCACCACAGAGTTCCATATTTTCATATTAAGTAGCATTATGTTGGTTTCAAACTTGCAGATTATTTTCACTGAGTAATGTTCAACACTCAGTTAATCAATTAGGTTAACTTACCCATCTTGAAAATGTTAAAGTGAGCTTAAGCAGATGTGCGCATCCACTTAATGTGCGACCCCCTTATGGTTGTATCCAAAGTTGCTCCTATACCCTCATTCGTTATTCCGTTCTTGAGTCTGCTAATATATTTCTCGTAAAGGAGTGAATGAAAACCAGTGAGTGAATTGGAGCACTGAGGGCATCAGAAGGGATGCCATTTTATTTGTGCTTAGCTGGTTTCTAAATCTCTCAGACAGATTCGATTTCCAACTTTTTGGTGAGACCCTGTGATAGTTACTTAACAATATATTAGTAAAGAAACAGAGTATTTTGATTTTTGTCTTGTGTATAGATGATAATTTAACAATTAAATTGTCATTTATTTAAAAACACATGATATGATTCCACTGACGATGCCATCTTGTGGTCAGATGCGGAAATTCATTCGGCACAGTGCAGGTTGCAACACAAACTCATTGTGAATACGTAGCCTGTATATTTCTGGAGAGAGCGAATTATGTAGCCAAAGGTATGTATGGCAGCATTTCGTCTTTAAAATTAAACCACGGGGTGGTATGATGGCGCCAATGGCCTATGTTTTTTGTCATGCTACCAGCTGACTACTTGCCTTCCGTATGGACAGCTTTTCCGTGGTTACCAGTTTGCCCAGTAGATTGCCACATACGTCAATGGAGTTGAGACGCAGAGAGGAGTTGACCATGACAACTGGATTTGAGTTCAGCTAAGAAGGGTTCCAGGGCAGGTCAAACAAAAAATAAAATAAATATTGGGAATATTGGTCTGTCAGTCAGTCAGTCGTTCAGTCAGTCGACAGCGGCCTCTGGTGGAGTGCAAATGGCACTCGTGAGAGAAATTTGAGATCTTAAAAAGCGCACACAGCAGCCTGAAAAAAACAAAAACAAAAACGTGGCTTCTGGGACATATTTTGCACTCTTCAGAAATGTATACAGGGGTACGTATCCATAATGAGCCTGGGTTGGCATTTTGGGAATTCACTAGCCATTGAGTGTACATCATCTGTGCACTTGTTATTGCAGTGCTTTGTGGGATTGATTGAGTGCACTTCAGAACGTGTGGTTTCGGACAACGCTACAAACAGCTGCTCCCTCAATTAATGTACTATTTAAGCGTATAGGGGCAATTTCGGATACACTTGGTGTAGATAGAGCTGATTTAATTTTAATATGCACCCACCCAAATGACTTTTTTACCTTTACACTACTCTGTTGAGTCTGTAATGAGTCATAGGCTTGGGATTTTTCTCTGCTATTTCTCTCTCATTAAGGCTGGTGTGATTGTGACATTGCTGCTGTTAATGATCCTCTACACAAACAGAGTGTTTCTGTTTGTTGGAACAACCTTTCTGGGGCTTTTCATTAGCAGTGTTTTCCCCTGCTTAGTGGCCTACACTGAGGACATTCTGGAATACCGTGGTAAATGGCACACAAAATACATCATGCATTATAGTACATACAGTGGGGGCATTCAACTTCTGTTGTACTTATGTTTATTATTATTAAAAATAATAATAATAGTAGTAATAATAATAATGTTATTTAGTAATGATAATGTGTGGCTGGAAGAGCATCCGCCACTAAAATATATGTCAGTGCAAATGTTAATTTTTATTATTATACATACTAAATAATATTTTAAAAAATCAGTAAACATTACATTTGTATATGATAATATTATATAGTATAATTGTTTTGACAACACATTATAATGATTTTAAGAGTTATAAATACTCAAATCTATAACACTATAAGCATTAAATGCAGTTATATGTTTTTTTTTATTATTACTTTTATGTAAATGTATTATTGTGCATTATTTTAGGAATGTCAAATATATCAAAAGATCTTTTTAATAGCATCTGAGGAAATTCATAATTGGAAAAACATTATTTGTGTTTAAATTAAATATTTAAAAATAGAATATTGAATAATTTTATTAGATATTATTATATTATTTATTTTATATTATTTATTTTTAAAAACAACAGTTTTGCATTCTGTTATTTATACTTACACATTTGCACATTAAATTAAATATAATCACTATTAGATTTCAGATTCTTCATGTGGCTTCGTTATGGGCAACTAGTCCACACATATGACGTTGTCACACACATTTTTTCTTTTCATCAGGATGTGCAACAACGGTCTTAGTGACATTGTCAGGGATGGGTGAGATGACGCTGCAGGTGCTGGCTGGAACAGTAAGTTCTCACTCTCAAGTTTCAGCATTTGGGAAAGATTTTCTGCGCTGATAAATAACCCAGAGCAAACTTCTTTCAGCTTATTCAGAAAAAAGGCAGTTACAGTTTTTTGGTGTGTGGTTTGGTCATTGGATGTCTCGGTTTCATCTTCCTCCTGAGTGTGATCCTGAGCAACCACTTCCACAGAAAAATCACAGGTACAAAAACAACAACAATGTACTCCCATTCATTACACCATAAAATACTGATTAAATGAACAATAACATTATATGGCTGTGTTTCAATCTCATTACCTCGCAGGAGCATCTAAAAAAGCAGAAATTACTGATGGTCCAGCAGCTCCTGCTCCAGAGAAAACAGCACCAGAACACAAAACTGCTGTAATACAGCCCGAATGCATTAAATGTGACTTTGGATTAGACCATAATGGGTCAAAACCTGCTGAAAATACTTAACAGTATGACTAAACTGTAAACGGTGAATGTGTTTTTATTATATTTGTGTAAACTAACAAAAGGTTTAAAAAAAACATACACAGTGATGCAATATATTTTTATGTATTTCTGCAAAGTTTGGTATTAAGTTGTGTTTTGTAATTGTTTCTAGCAAAAAAAACCCTGACTGTTCAATTCTAAACATTTACTGAACTAGCAAATGTTTAACAATTACAAAAGTGGAATGATGTAATTTATAACATTCAATGGCTACATATTATAAATAAAGTTTTGTACTTTACCCAAGACTGAAAATCATTTACATCAAATTAAATGACAGATTACATTAATAATTCACCCACCTGAAGAAGAAATTACTAGAAATTCCAGAGTGTTGTTCTGTATTCACATAAAACCAACTTCAGCAGCTTTTGGAAAAGTCACAATGACTAATGCAAAAGGTTCATCTCTGCTAGTGGGGAGTGGGATCATAATAAAATGAAATATGAAGCACAGAAGTATCTCTTAAAATAAGTAGCTTCCTGTTGGACATTGTAGTGAATCCAAACTATCTTTAAGCTTATTAGAAATCTGACCCAGAAAAGCAGATTCTTTTGAAATGTTTTCACTCAACAGCTCATTGCAGGAGTGGTAAATGCACCTTTAAAAAGCCACTATTGCATTTAAAAAGGTCATAATTTGGTTTTGGGGGTCAACAGGCTGATATGCATGCAAGGTCAAAAAAACTTTCATTGTCTTTTAATATGCATTCATTTTTACATAATTATCCCAACAACTCCCATATGATTTGTTCAGCGATTCATTTGTTCCCCAACTCCTCCTTAGCACAATGCTAATTTGCATTGATTGGTCCGATGACCCAGTCTGTTGCCATTGGTCGACTTTGTTCAGCTTGAGACAGAGAGAAATGCCCAGCATGGCTTATCAACTATTTTGAAGTAGTCAGAGTGCAGAGTGTATGTGTGAGCCCAATGCAGGAAAGTAATAAAGCAATGCAGTTAAACATCAGCATATTCTTAACAGGACACACATTCAGTATTATTCTAACCAAAAGTTAAACTATTTTGAAACTTGACCGCCGCACGTGTGTAGGAACAGCTAACGGTGGCCATAGCAATGACAAATGGTAGTGGATTGCGAGCACGAACACATTTAAATCTGTCAACAAGGCTGCACACATCGTGTTTTCAACATGGTTTTAGACACGGAGCGGTTAAGTAACAAAACACATTTTAATACATCATTTGCAAGCTAGAGAAACAAGGAGGCAACCATTTTAATCACACTTACGTTACTTACACTTGTGAAATGGATAAAGAAACTGATCCATAAACTGTGTACTGTAAAGTTCCTGTCAAGCTCTGACAAAGTCCCATACATCAATAGTCTTTTCTGATCCTTCCTTTAACAAACGACAAATCCCCCATTGTAAGCAAGTAGATTGCTAATGCACACTTCAGAAAAAATAACGAGAACACAGCACGAGGCTGGGGATAAATGCTGAGTATTTTTGCAAAAGTAAACTTCATGTTTGGGTAGGGAAAATAACTCTAACTTTACCTCACACATCAGAGAATAGCGTCTTTGCAACATGGTTCAACCGGGATCTGCTACAGTGTTTGTCTTCCTCTTTTTCTTTCTACAGTGTTTGTGGGCGGGACCAGGGGTTTTAGTTGTCCCGGGTCTGCACGTTCTGCATTAATTCGTTTGAATCACTCTGAGTCGACTCTTTAATAAAGGAATCAAAACAATTTAAACACGGTGCACTTTCAGATTTAAGCACTAGCTGGATATCTCACTTCACTTTGAGCTGTGTTACACTCTACATGGAGGGTCATTTTCAAGATCCCAATAGGGGCTCTTTAAAGGCAAAAAAAAAGGTTTCACTGTCTATTGTCAATAGTGTAGTGATGAAAAGTTAATAACATTCATTTATATTTGATCAACATTTAAACATATATATTTTTTTCAAACATCACAGTGACTTTCTGTTATTGATTGACCCTCTGGCTATCCTTATATCTCCCGTTTGACTTCATCTGCACCAATTAGTTAGTGTGCGGTGTGTGTTTTGGCACATCATTCAGGTAGAGGCTGCACACTGATGGTGAGTGAGATTTTCACTGTTCTAATGTGTTTTGAGTGCTGAGATATTCAAATCTGTAAATACATGTTACTTTGTGTATAATTCAAAATATTAATACCAATAATATTTAATGAAGTGTCATAATTTTCATGTGACCTCTTTCATTTACTGTAAAATTAGTTTTATGTCTCTGGGAATGGAGGAGTCTGTGGTTCTGCTGTTGAAATAAAAAGTGTAACAGCCTTCACATATAACCTTGACACCCATAAACTTACTGTGACAGTCAGTCACGGTTTGTGAATACTTGTAGAAATAAATTAGCTGTGCTGGTTGCAAAATTGTCAGTGACTTGTCTAATAATCAAAAATAGCCTCTTGTATGTTTACCTGTGTACCAGAATAGCCAGACCATTAGCTTTTATGGCTAAAGGTTGTTAGCTGGGCTACCACAGGCTTTGGCAGCTGAGCCTCTGAGCTGATGAGTTCAATCAATGCCAGAGGAAGGCAAGCTGGTATTTATTGTAGTAAAGGGAAATGTAAATAAGGGTAAAAAGGATAAGGGTAACATGCTAATTTTAGCTATCTGCAGCATATTGGATTTTTATCAATTTCTGAAAATATTTAGTTTTATTAGGTTATTTGGACAGGCAGGACCCTCTCACTGATTTCTATAATCTTGCAAACAGTGACGAACTGTTGCACAACGCTGGCAGAAAGTCAGTTAACACCTACACTCCAAAAAACATCTATAAATTTGCAGTTTTCAATATTTTGTGATTTGTGTTTTCAATTTTTTCCGTTTATTCATGCTTTTGAATTGCATTTTGGGATATTGATCATTGTTCCAACAACCTAACCTTAAAAAGTTGTAAAAAGTTTCTTTTATGATGATGTTTAATACACTACCTGACAAAAGTTCTGTCTATGAGTTGTAAAAGCAACAAATAATAACTTGACTTCAAGTTGATCATTTGGAAAAGTGGCAGAAGGTAATTTTTTTTAATGAATCATCTTATGAACTGCATCCCAATAATCACAAATACTGCAGAAGACCTATTGGAACTTGCATGGAACCATGACTCTCATAGAAATCTGTCAAGTTTGGTGAAGGAAAAATCATGGTTTGGGGTTACATTCAGTATGGGGGCATGCAAGAGATAGTGGATGGCAACATCAACAGCCTGAATATCAAAACATTTGTGTTGCCCATTACATTACAAACCATTGGAGAGGGCAAATTCTTCAGCAGGATAGCGCTCCTTCTCATACTTCAGCCTCCACATTAAAGTTCCTGAAAGCAAAGAAGGTCAAGGTGCTCTAGGATTGGACAGCCCAGTCACCAGACATGAACATTATTGAGCATGTCCGGAGTAAGATGAAGAAGGAGGCATTGAAGATAAATCCAAAGATACTTGATGAACTCTGGAAATCAAAAAATGCTTGCTGGGTTATTTCTCTCTATATTATTTCTTATACCTTATATTATTTCAAACTACAAAAATGTCAATGAAAGTCACTTTGTTAATCTGTAGAGTTGAATTTCAGAGCAGAGATGGAGGTCTTATAACGTAATTCACAACTGTAAATAAACGGAAAACATAAAATACAGAAACTGTTAATTAACAGATATTTTTACTGTGTATTGTGTAATGTGGTTATGATGACCAGAACGCATGATAGAAAAAGCTTTCTCCAGTCTTAGAGTAAAAGACATATAAATTCCTCAAGCTTTTTTAAAAATTCATGTGTGATAGCTACAGGATTCGAAAATGTCAGTATGTCAGCATTTAATCTAAAACACAATCAAACAAAAGTCAAAAAAGCTCATAGATGACTCCATTTCTTTAAAGATACATTTTATTTTTCCTTGTAAAACAAATTTTACAAAAATCAGAATAGCGTAATTAAATCGAACATTTATTTTGGATAAATTATGATATAGAATGAAAGGCTACAGATTAAGATGGCGATACAAGCAATAAAAATAGTCATATGAAGCTGAGAAAGCTATGGATGGTGTGCACTGAATTCAGCTCGTGTTTGCCATTCTAATGGCTCGACGGACTGCTCTTTTAAAAAGGCATCTAGAAGCATCAAAATAGTCTTAAAAAATTTCACACATGAAGCATCACAGAGGTCAATAATAAGGTTTTCACTAGCTCACTCACTTCTGACGTCACTCATCCTGAAGGTTTACACCAGACTCCCTTCGCCAAGCACGTACATGAAAGCATGCCGACCATGAAAGAGGTTCAATACGACCATAGAAAAAAAAAGTCATCTTAGTTCAAATGCTCAGACAGGGAAAGAAAGCTGATTTACTAGACTGAATCAAGAAATAACTGCACGGAAAGTGGGTGAAAGTAGCGCACTAGAACTATGTAACGTACAGTTGATGTAGCGAGGATACCGAGTGACTGAACTGCAGCCACAAAATCCAGTGCAGTTCATGACGACAAGCATATATGTTCATTAGAAGCTTGTGTTTTCAGCAGTTGACGCCGCTGGGATGAAATTGTGTACATTAAAAGTCACAAAAATTGATTCATTTTGGAGCAAACAAGCGATCTTTTCAAACAGATTTCCAAAATTTGTACATTGCCCGTAAAGTGAGATACAGAACCTACAGTGTAATCTGTATTTTCAGGGCAAGTCGTCTTCGTCCTTCTTTATTTATACACTGAAGGTCGACTGTAACAAAACAGATAGATTGCTAGACAAATTGAAAGACTGATAAATATTCATATGAAAGATCGCGTTTCAGTATTAAGCCAAACCGTAGAGTTTTTAGGACAGGTCTGATGATACTTTACAGATTTTGTGTGGTGGAGATATGGTATTTACAAGCCGAGTGACATAACAAACATCCAAAATACTCTTTGAGCATTGTGGGAAATCAATTCTACAGCTCCTCATAAAGAACAACAGATAACAGACACGTTCAGTGGCAGGTCAAAGAGCTCAGTCTTCACCTGACGGAGCTTCCTCCTCAGAAACATCGTCTTTTTCCTCCGTCTCATTCTCATTCTCCTTCTCCTCCTCTTTTTCTCCGTTGTCGTTGTTTTCCTCTCCTTCTGCGCCGCTTTCTTCATCCTTCTTCTTCTTGGCGGCGGGCGACTCCTTCTTTTCTTCCTCCTGCACCTCTTCTTCTTCCTTCTCCTCCTTGTTGCTCTCTTCATCTTCAGATTTTGGTGA